GAGCTAGACGGCTTGCGTGCGGGTGGGTAGCTTGATCACTCCACCTACCCCCTCCCCTGGATCTGGACGGGGGGTCCGCGACCGATTGGGGAGTCCAAGAAGGCCCAGGCGAGAAGGCAAACATCAGTCATTTTACCAAGGTTGTGGGCCCGCTTTTACCTCCTGGGAGTTCGACACTAATCCCACCAGCCCTTTAAGACGTAGGTGGTCTAGGGAGCTTCCTCTTCCAACCCCCTTCTTCCCCTTCGGGGAAAGGTTTATAAGTGCTCCCTGTTGGTAAACACCCCCTCCCCCACCCAGCAGGCAGCCAACCCGGAACCATGCGCACACCATGAGGACCCCCCCACCATCCCCCTGTCAACAAATAATACGAAGTACAAATTGCAACAAAATCTGGACACGGCGCTGGCGCCCTGTGAGCACGTTGTATTGTTTTTTGGCAAGGATGGCGGGGCACCCTTAGAGAAGTCGCTTTGTGCAGGGCCACCATCGGTGTCAAAAACAATGCAAAGTGCACGTTGCGCCAACGTCGGGGGTGTCGTGCTGGCCACCCGCGATCAATTCGCATTGTTTTTGTTGGCAGGGACGGCGGTGGTGCCCGAATGATTATGCTTGCTGGGCGCAGGCCCAGAACAATGCTGACGCCCCCCACATAAGCATCTGGACCGTGCGGACGGTGGGGCGTCACGTTTTTTTTACAAGGATGGCACACCAACCGCATGTGCAGCCCGCGGCGAGCGTCGCGCACCTGGCGTCAGTTTTGCTTCCCAGTGGCTGTCCATCCAGTGGCGACCCCTGGCTATGCCGAGACTCGGATACCACTTGTGTGGTGGGAGTGCGGGTGGAAGTGAGCTAGACGGCGTGCGTGCAAAGAAGGTGTCTTGTCCCCTCCCCCTACCAAGGTTTCGCGGGTAGGTGGAGCATCGAAAACGGCCTCGGCGAGGAAGCCCAAACCATCAGTTTTACTAAGGTTTTGGACCCATTTTGGCCTCCTGGGGGGGGGGGCGGGGGGGGGCTAATTAGGGACCCCCCCCCTTCTTTGATCGATCTCGGTGGCCAGGAGGCCCCAAGAGGCCCCCAGGAGGCCCCCAGGATTCCCCCAAGAGGCTCCCAAGAGACCCCCAAGAGGCCCCAAGAGGCCCCCCAGAGGCACCCAAGACGCTCCAAGAGGCCTCGCCGAGAAAGCCAAAATCATTGACTTACTAAGGTGTTGGCCACATGTTGGCCTCCTGAGGGGGGGGGCACTGCTTAAGATGACTCCAAGAGCGCCTGGGAGAGCTCAAGATGACCTCCAAGATGACTCAAGATATCCCAAGATGCCTCAAGATGGCTCCCACGATGCTCCAAGAGGCCCCAAGACCGCTCCAAGACGGCTCCAAGTGGCCAAAGAGCTCCCCCAGGAGGCCCCGAAGAGGCCAACATCCTTCCAAAACCTGTGGAAAAGAACATGTGCTTGTCGTTCGCCTTTTCGCTTCCGATGGCCGTCCGAGGCCTCAAGATGGCTCCAAGATAGCCCAAGAGGGCTCCAAGAGAGGCTCTCAAGAGAGCCCCAAGACGGCCCCAAGAGCGCCCAAGAGCGCCCCAAGAGCGCCCAGGAGGCCCCAGGATGCCACAACAGGCGCCCAAGAGGCCTCCAAGAGGCCCCCAACAGACCCTAAAGAGGCCCCGAGAAGCTCTCCGAGGCACCCAAGACGCTCTAACAGGCGTCCGGGACCGCCAAGAGGCCCCCAAGACGCTCCAAGAGGCCTCCACTGGGGGGCCCTTCCTCTGTGTGCTGCCCACTTCCCTGATCGAGGCAATTCCTCTGGGCATCGCTTCTGGATGGGCTGGTGGGATTACGATCGATCTCCCCAAAGATGACCCCAAGATTGCCCTCCAAGGCTCCAAAGAGGGCCCCAAGAGGCGCCCAGGAGGCCCCGAGAGGCCCCTAAGAGACCCACACTGGGCTCCCAAGAAACCCCCAAAAGGCCTGCGACGGCGGGTTCCGCGACCGATTGGGAGTCCAAGAAGGACTCGGCGAAAATGCGAAAACCATTGATTTGACTAAGGCTGTGGGCCCATTCTGGCCTCCAGGGAGTGTGGGGGGGACACTCATGTGGCACCCCCCCATATTTGATCGGCCTCCAGATGACCCTAAGATGCCCCCCCAAGGCTCCAGAGAGGGCCCCAAGAGGGCCCCACGAGGCCTCAAGAGGCCCCCAAGAGGCTCCCAAGAAGCCCCCCACGAGGTCCCAAGAGGCATTCCCCGAGGCATCCAAGACGCTTCAAGAGGCCCCAAGGCCGACGATGGACCCAAGATAGCCAAAGATGGCCCCAAGATAGCCCAAGACGGCCCGAGAGGCCTCAAGAGGCCTCCGAAAGAGTCTCCAGGAAAGCCCGAAGAGATCGCTGATCCTCTTCGTATGTCTTCCCGACGCGTTTCACGGAGCGTTTCCACAACGGCTGGGGGTACACATGATCCGATAGCTTAGCCGAGCTGTGGCCACAACGTCCGGCCACACAGGCATTTCCAACAAGCAGTGGGCAGCGGTGATGCGCTGTAGGCGTCTTCGATCCGCCGCCCTCTGATTTACTGAAAGGCGAATCAAATACGTAGGTCTCCATCTGTTGATTCCGCCCAAGACGGCTACGAGAGGCCAAGATGGTCCAATATTGCTCCAAGAGGGCCCAACATGGACCCAAGACAGATGCATAGGATTTGATGATGTTTGCAGTTCTCGCCTCGTCGGGCACCCGAAAGCCCAAGACGGCCCAAGAGTCCCCCAATATCGTTTCAAGACGGCCCAAAACGGCCCGAAGTGGAACCGAGTACGATCATGAGGGCCCCAAGAGGGCCCAAGATAGCCCCATAAAGGCCCCAGGACGGCCCAGAGGGGCCCCAAGACGGCCCATGAAGGCGCCATACGGCGAAAGAGCGCCCCTCTACCAAGAAGATCCCCAAGATGCCAAGCGAAGGCCCCAGGTGATCCCAAAGAAGATCCCAAGTGCCAGGAAATAGCCCCAAAACAACCAGAGAACGCCCAGTACAGCCGCGCGCGCGCAGAATAACTGCCCGAAGTTCTGCCCCTACTCTGGACCGCCAAGGTGCCCCAAGACGCTCCAAAAAGACTCCAAGAAGCTCTCAAAAGACATCTGAAGGCATCCAAGAGGCATCCGGCCTTTCTGCTCGCCCTCCTCCTCTCCCTCCTCCTTTATCTGCTTATTCCTCCTCGTCCTTCCTCCTTCCTCCCCCGCCCCTCTCTCTTCTCCTCCTCTTTCGATTCCTCGTCCATCCTCCCCATCTTGTTGTATGACGGCGTCCCCAGCCACTTATTCGACGGCATGCTCCTCAACACCCCTGATCAGGGCAACTCGCCTGGGCATCGTTTCTGGATGGGCTGGCGGTGTTACGCGAAGCATCTAGAATTGAGTCCCCCCCTCGCTGATCGAACTCCTCTAAATTGGCCCCAAGGCGGCCCAGGTTGGCAGAATATCAGAGTGGAGAGCCGAACGGTCATTCATTGTCCCTGGGTGCCTGGCTGAAGAAGGACTCCCCGTTGCGGATTGTTGTTGTTAAGGTTGTGTTGTTTGTTGTTTGTCTTCGTCCCACCCGCGACCCGACCCGTGACCCACCCGCGACCCACCCGCGACCAACCCCGCGACCCACCCGCGACCCACCCGCGACCCACCCGCGACCCACCCCGCGACCCACCCGCGACCCACCCATTTACTTTGGCGCAGAATTCGGCGCCTGCGGCGGGCTCGTTGTGTAAGTTGTGGAAAGGTCGGCGCCTGCGGCTGGTTTCTTCAGAGCCTCGCAGGCTGCCGACGACTCCGCCGCCCCGTCACTCTTATCCGCAACTGCGGTGTGCTACATAACCTCCACCATGCCTCCACGAGGTCCCAAGAAAGGACCAAGGCGGCCCAAGTGGCCTCTGGGCTTCCCACGACCGCTCCCCAGAGCCCAGTCCCCCGAAAACCTCAGAGGAATCAACGAAGCCCACCAGCCCTCTGTGCGTGAGTGGTTCAGCGAGCTTCCTCTGAAAACGCCCATGCTTCCCCTTCGGGGATGGGTTTACACCTCCCGATACCCCCTCCGTGGACCTAGACGGGGGGGGGCGAGCGGTTGGTGCGCATTAGAGGGCCTCGACGAGAAGGCACACAAACAGATATAGCTCTGGTTTCGGGCCCATGTTGGCCTCATGGGGAGCTAATTGGGCACCCCCCCTTTTTGGATCGAGTTCCTCATAGATGGCCCCAAGATGCCCCCGAGGCCCCCAAGGGTGCCCCAAGAGGGCCCCAAGAGGCGCCCAGCAGGCCCAATGAGGCTCAAAAGAGACCCCAGAGAGGCCCCAAGAGGCTCCTCCGAGGCACCCAAAACGCTCCAAAGGACCCCTGGGGCCCTGGAGCCGCCAAGGGGTCCCCAAGACGCCCCAAGAGAACCCCAAGATGCTCTCAAAAGACATCCGAAGGGACTCCGAGAAAAATCCAAGAGGCATCCGGCCTTTCTGCTCTTCTTCCTCCTTCGCCTCCTCCTTCTCCTCCTTCTCCTCCTCCTCCTCCTCCTCCTTCTCCTCCTCCTCTTCGTCCTCCTCCTCGTCCTGCTCCTTCTCCTCCTCCTGCTCATCCTCCCCCTGCTGCTCCTCCTTCTCCCCCTCCTCCTCCTCCTCATCCTCCTCATCCTGCTCATCCTCCTCCTCCTCCTCCTCCTCCTCCTCCTCCTCCTCCTCCTCCTCCTCCTCCTCCTCCTCCTGATCCGCCTATTCCTCCTTCTCCTCCTTCCTCATCACTTCTCCCCCTCCCCTTCCCCCTCCCCCTCCGCCTACTCCTCCGACTCCTCCTTCAGCTTCCCACTCTTGGAGTATGACGGCGCCCCCAGCCATTTATTCGACGGCATGCTCCTCCACATCCCTGATCAGGGCAACTCGCCTGGCATCCCTCAGCACTTGGGCTGGTTGGGTTACGCGAAGCCTCTGAATGTTTGCAAATACCTCCGAGAGCCCTGCCTCCCCGCCGCGGTCATCGTGAAGGAACGGCTTCACCCTCGGCAAGCAGTACTCCAGGGCCGGGCGTTTCAGGCAGTCCCCGATGGATGCACCTGGGGCCACTCCGTCAGGAGGCAGCTGCTGGGAGGTATTCGCAAGAGTGATGAAGGGCTAGTGCGTGAGATGAAAAAAGGCGTGTCAGAGATTTGGCTGTCCCCCTCCCCCTGTCCCCCTCCCCTCGGGTCCAACATGCACTTCTTTCTAGAGATGGGAAGGGAAAGGATCGGTCTCACGATCGACCTTACGATCGTCCTCACTATCGATCCCAGCATCGATCTCACTATCGATCTCACAATCGATCTCAAAATCCATAACGCTATCGAACTCACTATTGAGCCGTCGACGGGCCCTCTGAGATCGTCTATATTGGAGGCTTCTTGAGCCGTTTCGAACCGACGGATGCCCAAAAAGGCAAAAATGCCACAATCCTACTAAAACTTACCTAGGGCCTCTATGGCAAAAAACATTATCTAGGGCCTCTTCGAAACTTCGGCGCCTGTCCAATGTTCAAACCATCCGCAGTGCTCCTCCTCGTCATCCTCCTCCTCCTCCTCCTCCTCATCATCATCATCCTTCTCATCCTCCCTCCTCCTCCTCCTCCTCCTGCGTCTCCTCCTGCTCCTCCTCCTCCTCATCATCATCATCATCCTCATCCTCTTCTTCCTCGTCCTCCTTGCCCTCCTCCTCCTCCGGATCGTCCTCCACCTCCTCCTCAACCTCCCCCTCTTTTTCTTACTAGCATTCTTATTCTCAGCATTAATATAATATTTGTATGAGTATCATGTTTCACATTCATAGTAGTAGTGGCATTCGTAGTATTATGGGTCGTATGCGCATTCGTATCAGCATCGGTGTTCTATTCATTATAATAGCATTCGTGTTCCCATATGTTTCAATACTAGTAGTATTAGTGCCCTGCTTTTTCTTACTATTCAAATTAGCCTTGTTCGTATTACTATGAGCAAGATGGTGAATGACTTCGCACTCGTATTATTAGTACTCGTCTTAGTTGCCTTATGTGCCTTATTATGTGCCGTATTCCTCGTGTTGTCCTCCTGATTCATTATTATGGTTATGTTGTTCCTTCGTAGTAGAGATGATATTCTTCATATTCTTATGATCAGAATTAGTCTTCGTATTACGAGAAGGAATTTATCATTATTACTGATATCAGTATTATCCGTATTGTTGTGATTCCTCCTCCTCTTTTTTTCCTCCTCCTCCCCCTTGCTCCTCCTCCTCCTCTTCCTCCTCCTCGACCTCATCATCCTCCTCCTGTTCCTTTATCCTCGTCCTCCTACCCCCAAGATGGTCCCAGGAGGTCGAGCATGGCTCAAGAACGTCTCCGATTGACCTCCAAAAGGCCTCAAGAACGTCTCCGACAGACCTCCAAGCTCCCCAAAATTGCTGAACATGGATCGAAATAGCCTCCGACAGCCTCTAGCCGAGCATGGCTCGAGGCAACCTCCAAGAGGTCTTTAAGAAAATGTCCGATCGTTTCTGGACGGGGGGGAATACGCGAAGCGTCAAGACCTGTACACGAATGGCGCGTCGTTGCTGTACCCATCTGCGTTTGAGCTTGGCATTGCCGTGGGCTGACACGCAGTGGATGCTCATTGCCCTCGTGGACATGCGCGCGCTCGCCTCGGCGCTGAAACGATGAGGGGCGCATCCGCCCCCCGTGGCGCTGGCAGCGCCCTGAGAAGAGCAAAACGACACGGCAGAACAGTGCGGCAAACGAGCAGGGCAACCCACCCAACGCCCAGTCTTTACGTGGTCTGGACGTGCACACCGCCAAAAGAAATACATAATGGAGGGGGATGGATCCTTGCGACAACGAATGAAGGAAGGAAGCTGGGCACGCAACCAAAAAACGATGTGGATAACCGCAAACCCTGCAAACGGTGTGGGCCATGACGTCCGCGATCAGATGGGACCTGGTCGCGCCTTTTTCAGAATATCCTCGAGCAGATGATTCTAAGCCGCATCATGGCGGGCCCAAACGACACCCGCCTACACGACACCAAACCACACCAATCAAGATGAACGAACGTGTCAACTCGCACAACAAAAAAAAACTAGATACCAGTCGCTGGATGGGCTGGCTGGACACGCGAGGCGTTTCGAATACTGCAAAGTTGGTTGATACGATGACGACGATTGACTGCTGGTTCATCGACAAATGTATCATGCTGATTCCGGATAAGGTAGAGCAGTAAACTCGAGAGAGGACTGTTTGGCCCGCACGCGATGAGCCAAGCCGACTATGATTCTGCACTCGCACGCGCGTGCACTTTATTTGTCGGAGAAGAAGCAGAGATGGTTGCGCCAGCGAAGGAGCTAGACGGGGGCGCAACGGAGAGGCGGGAAGAAGAGGCCACTCAGGGGCGGACGGGTCTGCACCTGAGTATGCTGGCGCGGCCAGCCCCGCCGGCGGGGACCATGGCAGCTGCCGGGCCGCAAGCACAGGCGGGGCCCAGTGCGGGTACTGCAAGTAGGCGAAGAAGTGAAGCCGTCGAAAATGCACACGAGGTGCTAGGACAACGGACGAGGGCCACAGACCGCAAAGGTGGGTGGCACTGACAAGGTGCGGCAAGCAAGCACATGTGCGGTCCAGGTGGGACTGCATCCAGCAAAATGCTAGGCCCACGGAGGGGATCAGGCGGCAAGACCAGGCCCAGGTTCCCGACCGCATCGGGAGACTGCCAACGGCGGCGGCGCGCAAGGGAGGAAAAGCGAACGGAGGGAAGACGGGGGAGCGGGCGGGGAGGAGCGACCCGCCTGTGGGGAGATCCCCGCAGGTGGGGCGGCAGCGCCGGCGCCGGCGCCGGCGGGTGGAGGGCAGCTTTCCCGTGCACTGTGCTGCTGCGGACGCCTGCGCTGCCCCCAAGGTAGGCGAGGCTGCAACGGTACACCCCGGGCTGCCAGTTGAGGGCAGAGCAAGGGCGTGCCAATATCAAAACAGTGACCGAGGCCGCAGGGCCATGCGCTATGACTCTGAATCTGCACGCGCGTACACACGGTGACTGTGTACGCGTGTACTTCTGCGGGGTGGCACGCCCGAAACACAGCAGGCTAACAGCGCAAGCAACAGCACGCACGCAGACACTCGCCACGAGATACAGACGCGTGCAGGCGCGAGGGACTTTGCCGTGCTTACTGTTTCAATCGAGGGATCTCCCCGCGGGCTGTTGCCACCCCCGCCCCTTGCTCCTGTGCCTGGGGGGCCAGCAGTATCAAGCGCGTAATGTCCCATGCCGATCGAAGTCATCAACCTTCGTCACCTCAGCACTGTCGCAGACGACCCTGGCTGCTCCTCCAATTTCTCCTCCCACTCCTCCACTCTCAAAATCGGCCCCCGACCTGTCATAGGGCGCATCCTGAATCAAGTCGTGGCAACGAGCCCCTCTGGAGGTCCAGAGAAGGGTGAGATTATCCGAGCGAAGGGCCCAACCATACGCACTTGTGAGTAACACAGTTGTGAAAATCGTCTTCGGTGGAGCTCCTTATGGGGTCCACGAAGAGTGTGAGGGGTGCGCTGAAATGGTGGTGCAACCGCATGCGAGCCCTGCCAGCCTTCGTTTGAGCTCCCTATGGGGGCACGAAACGTGTGAGAGGTGTGCCGGAATAGGTGGAACCGCATGCGAGCCCTGCCACTGGGGCCTCCATGGAGCTCCCAATGGGGCCACGGAACGTGTGGGGTGCAAAACTGAGGGATTAGAACTGCATGCGAATCCTGCCGCTGGGGCCTTCGGTGGAACTTCCTATGGGGCCACGAAACGTGTGAAAGGTGTGCCGACATGGGGCGTGCAACCGCGTGCAAACCCTGCCAATGCGGCCGTCGGTGGAGCTCCTGATGGAGCCACGAAACGCGTGAGAGGTACGCCGAATGGGGGCGGAACCGCGTGCCAACCCTGCCACTGCACCCTTGGTGGAGCTCCTCATGGGGCCACGAAAAAGATGAGGGGTATGCCGAAATGAGGGTGGAACCACATGCGAACCCTGCCACTGGGGTCTTCAGATGGAGCCCCCTTTATGGGGCCACGAAACATGTGAGAGGTGCGCCGAGATGGAAGTGGGATAGCATGCGAACCCTGCCACTGGGGCCGCCCTTGGAGCTCCCTATGGATCCACGCCACTGTGAGGGATACGCCGAAATGAGGGTGTAACCGCACGCGAACCCTGCCACTGGGGCCGTCGGTTGAGCTCGCTATGGGGGCAAGAAACTGGGGCCTTCCCTGGAGCTCCTTGCGGGGCCATGAATTGCATGCCGGAATGAGTGGGTGGAACCGCATGCGAACCCTGCCGGTGGAGCCCCTATGCGGGGCCACGAAACGTGAGAAGGGAGCGCGCCGAAATGGGGGGCGGAACCGCATGCGAACCCTGCCACTTGGGCCTTCGGTGGAACTCCCACATGGGGCCACGAACCGTGTGATGGATTAGCCGAAGTGGAGGCGGAAACGCATGTGAACCCTGCCACCGGGGCCGCCCTTGGAGCCCCCTAGGGAGCCACGAAACTGTGAGGGGTGTGCCGAAATGAGGCTGGAACCGCATGCCAACCCTGCCGTTGGGGCCTTCGATGGAGCTCCCCATGGGGCAACGACCCTTGTGAAGGGTGTGACCACATGGGGGTGGAACCGCATACGAACCCTGCCAGAGGGTGGGGCCTTCAGTGGAGCCCCCTGTGAGACCAAAAACACGTGTGAGGGGTGTGCCGAAGCAGACGCATGCGGAAAGCAGAGGCAAGTATGGGAGGAAGGAGGAGGGAGGGGGCAGCGGGAGGAAGGAGTGGACGCGGGGCGCTGTCTCTTCAAAACGATGACCCAACACATGATGATTTGTAAAACTGAACAAACAAATCCCCTCCCTCCCTCCCTCCCTACCTACCTCCCTCCCTCCCTCCTCCAACTCCTCCTCCTCCTCCTCCTCCTCCTCCTCCTCTTCCTCCTCCTTCTCCACCTCCACACTCTCTGGGGGGCCCTGGGATCTCAGAAGTCCCTAGAGGCCTCCTGAAGCCAAAAACAGCCCAAAAACATTACAACACCTGCACCCTCTTCGTCACAAAGTCAGCAGTTCAGCAGGCCGAGTGGAATGTACACAGAAAGCGGCACCGAGAGCGAGGACTTTGGCGAACTTCACCTTTGGAGGGGGCAGCCAGGAGGGTACCCCGCCACGCCAGAGAAAGAACACGCTGGTACTGCGAGGAACGGGAATGAGACGCGCCGCGGGAAGATAATGACAGTTGCTGCGGTGTGTCCTCGCGAGGGCCTCGGGCCAATGTCGGGCCCCCAGACCGTGAAGAAACTGCGCAGGATACAAAACTCGTTCCTCGGAGGCGGCCGAGAGGCCCAAAGGCCCAGATCGGGATCCAGGGAGGGCACAGAGACTCCGAGGAGTAGGAGACGGGGATGGAAACGGAGGTGCGGGCGCAGGCGGAGACACAGGCTGGCAGCATCATCGTCAGCCATGAAGCAGCAGCCATCAAGCATCAGGCCATGAGCCATCAGCAGCATCAGCAGCAGCATCACCAACGTCGGCAACACGCTCACCCCCACCACCACCACCACCACCACCAACATCCTCACTATCGTCCTCATCATGACCAGCAGCAGCCGCAACAGCATCAGCATCACCATCAGCATCATCATCAAGATCATCAGCATCGTCGTCATCGTCGTCAGAGTCATCGCCATCACCATCATCAGCATCATAATCATCAGCAGCATCAGCATCATCATCAGCAGTATCATCATCATCACCACCATCATCATCATCATCATCATCAGCATCATCATCATCAGCATAATCACCAGCATCGTCGTCATCCACGTCGGCGGCGTCGTCGTCGTCATCGGCATCGGCATCGTCATCGTCATCGTCGCCATCAGCAGCAGCAGCATCGTCATGATCACCATCATCATACAATCACCACACCAACCATCATCGACGCCAACATCGCGAATCACCAGTGCAACAATCTCCGCCAATGCCACCAACATCGGCAATACCATACTTGTCGCCGTCGTCGCTGTCATTGTCGCCAACATGTGGCATGATGAATACCATCATCGTCATCAACATCGTCATTAACAACATCGTCACCAACATCATCACAACCGTTACCATCACCGTCATCAACGTCATCGCCATAGCCATGGTTGTCGTCAGTATCATTCCCCCATTCCCATCCCTCATCATCAATGGCCATGGCCCTGCCTAATCCTCCTGCTGATCCTCCTCGTCATAATCACCATCACCATCACCACCACCATACTCAGCGTCGCCATCATCACAACAAGTGTCACCGTCACCGTCATCACCACCACCAGCATCATCAGCATCATACTCAGCATCATCATCATCAGCATCATCATCATCATCAACAGCAGCAGCAGCATCAGCATCAGCATCGGCATCAGCATCATCAGCACCATCATCAGCAGCTTCCCCATCATCCTCATCAATATCACCATGAGCATCATCATCATCAGCAGCAGCATCATCAGCAGCAGCGTCAGCATGATCATCCATTTTCAGAAGCTTCTCCATCATTCTCATCAATAGCACAATCAGTATCATCAGCAGCGGCGTCTGCAGCATCATCATCATCATCATCATCATCACCATCATCATCATCACCACCACCACCAGCATCACCAGCATCATCAACAGCATCATACTCCGCATCATGAGCATCAGCATCAGCGTCATCATCATTATCATCTTTATCATCATCATCAGCATCATCGGCATTCATAATCATCAGCAGCATCAACCTAGTCAGCATCAGTTACATCATCATCAGCATCATCATCATCATCAGCATCATCATCATCATCAGCATCATCATCATCACCATCATCATCATCGTCGTCAGTATCATCACCATCAGCATGATCATATTCATCATCAGCATCATCACAGTCAGCATCAGAATCATCAGCTTCATTGTATTAATCATCATCCGCAGCATCAACAGCGTCATCAGCATCAGCAGTATCTTCAATCGTCATCAGCATCGTCATCATCGTCAGTATCAGTATCATCATCACCATCATCGTCATCATCATCATTGTCGGCGTCATCGTCGTCATCAGCAGCTTCACCATCAGCAGCATCGTCATCAGAAGAGGGACAACGGTGGAAACTGAGGTGGAAGCGCAGGCAAGGATAAAGGCTGCAACATCATCGCGATGAGTCATCGGCCATGAGCCATAGGCCCTCAGACATCAGCCATGAACCATCAGTAGCATCACCTGTCGCAGCATCGTCATCATCGACGTCGTCAGTCCCCTCATCGTCACCGCCACCACCCTCATCATCACCATTACCATCAACACCATAACCAGAATCATCATCATCATCATCATCATCATCATCATCATCATCATCATCAGCATCATCAGCATCATCATCATCATCATCATCATCATCATCATCATCATCATCATCATTAGTATCATCATCAGCACAATCATCATCATCATCAGCATCATCATCATCATTATCGTAATCAACATCGTCTTCATCATCAGCCTCATAATTGGCATCATCATCATCAAAAGCATCAGCATCGGCATCATCATTATCAGCAGCATCATCAGCATCGTGTTCATCAGCGTTATCATCATCATCATCATCAGCGTCATCAGCCTCATCACCATCATCAACAGCATCATAGCATCATCAGCATCGTCGTCATCATCAGCAGCAGCATCAGAAGCAGCATCATCACCATCATTCTCATCAGCGGTACCACCAACACCATCATCAACATGAACAACATCCTTCCTCCGTTCTTCCCCTCCTTCCTCCGATCCGTCTTCTTCTCCTCCTCCTCCTCCTCCTCCTCCTCCTGCGTCGCCTCCTCCTCCTCCTCCGCCTTCTCCGACTCCGACTCCTCCTCCTCCATTCCGTCTGCTTATACAGAACTCCTCCCTGTCGCACCCCGAGTCTAGTTTTTAGGCGGGCGGGGCGTTTCGCCTGAGACTTCCTCGCCACGTGTGATTATGAAGCTGAAAGTCGCAACAGTTTCACAGTTTGAGGGCGGGTCGTTTTCAAAATGTTGCTCTCGCCTTAGCGCCGCGCACATTCGTTTGAAAAAAATGCAGGAGCTTCACGGATTGAGGGCGGTTCCTGTCAAAATTTGGCTCTAGTCTAAGCGCCGCGCACACTCGTTGCAATAATCCGCAAGGGTTTCACGGATTCCCGTGATCAACGTACCAGAAACTGCGTTTGGAAGGATTCAGGATTATGCGGGCGCAACAGTTATGGTGGTTCGCTGTGTTGAAGTTCCAAAAATGGCGTTCTGGCACAGACCATCAAGACGCAGCACTCAGGTTCATACGTGACGTTGAAATCTCGAAAACGATGTTTTGGCACGCTTCAGGATCTTCAAACTGCTGTCTTCCAACGAGGCAGTGCCCGCAATGGAAATCAGTTGTAGGGCCTACGAAGAGGGAGCTTGGAGGGAGGGTGACTTCCGACATCGTTGATGACTCTTGGGTTTCAACTGGTCCTCCTCCTCCTCCTCCTCCGTTTCCTCCTCCTCCTCCTCCTCCCACCTCCTCTTCCAACTCCTCATCTTCCTCCTCAGTATCCTCCTCCTCCTGTCTCCGCTCCCTCCTCCTCCTCCTCCTCCTCCTCCTCCTCCACCTCTTCCTCCTCATCCTCCTGCTCCTCCTCATCTTCTTATTATGTTTCTTATTATTATTATGTTTCTTCTTATTAGCATTCTTATTATTATTCTTATTATTCATATGATTATTATTCGTATTATTATGGTTATTGTTATTATTAGTATTATTATTATTATTATTATTATTATTGTTCTGATTATTAGTATTATTGGTATTACTATGATAATTATTATTATTAATACTATTTTTATTATTATTACCATTAGTATTATTATTAGTATTATTCGTAGTATTATGATTAGTATCAGTAGTAGTAGTAGTATGATTAGTAGTATTATTAGTAGTAGTAGTATTATCAGTATTATTTAGTTTATTATTACTAGTGTTCTTAATATTATTCTTATTAGTATTCTTAAAAGCATTATTATTAGCATCATTATCATTATTATTTTTATTAGCATTATTATTATTATTCATCGTATTATTATTATTATTATTCTTATTTGAATTAGTATTATTATTAGTATTGTTCTGCTCATTATTATTAGTAGTATTATTATGTTTCTTCTTCTTATGCTCTTAATCGTATTCGTATTCGGATTATTATCATCATTATTATTAGTATGCGTCTTATGATTCTTATTATTAGTATTATTGTTATTGTTCGTCTTTTTCTTCTTCCTCCTCCTCCTCCTACTATTATTGTTCCTCCTCCTCCTCCTCCTCCTCCTCCTCCTCCTCCTCCTCCCCCTCCTCCTTCTCCTTTTCATCCTCTTAACTCCTCCCCGCTGGGTACCAAACGTGCCGGTTAGGTGGGTTGGGCGTTTCGCTTGACACATCCTCACAACCTTCAAGATCCTGAAGCTTTGAATCCCACCATCCCTCAGGGCGGAGGTGCTTCCCCTTCGGAAAGGGACTACCCATACCTCTACCCCCTCCCCCTGGGTCTGGACAGGGGGACAGGGGTTAAAACGTCAAAGACTACTGCAGATGGCTGTAAAAGGGCCTCCGAGAGCCCAAGACGACCGCCAACATGCCTCAAGGTACATCAGGATGGCTCAAGATGGCTGCCAACATGCCCCAAGGCGCTCCAAGACCGCTCCAAGACGGGTTCAAGTGGCCACGCCTGCACGAGGCCAGAATCATTCCAAAACCTGAATGTTGTTTGCGTTCTCGCCTTTTCGCTTCCGACGGGCCTTCGAAGCCTCAGGATGGCTCCAGCATGTCCCACGAGTGCCAGCCCAAGAGGGATGGCTCCAAGACGGCACCACGAGCGCCCCAAGATCACCCGAAGAAGCGATTCTAAGAGAGCCAAAGCGAGGAGCCTAATTAAGGGCCCCCCGCTCCGTCGACCGACGTCCTCAAAGAGGACCCTATGCAGGCCCCGAAGGAGCCCCATGAGGGTCTCGAAAGCTTCCAAAATGGCACAACATGGCCCCAAGCTAGCCCAAGAAAGCTACCAAGCCCCCCTTCCCCTCTTTGCTCCACTGCGTGTTCCCA